AATGTCCTTTCTGAATGGTTTGTGTGGCCTTTGAGCACAAAAATCAGTTTGTTTACAATTGGAGTGAATTTTTTTTTAAAGTGTCGAGTAGACCTAGATGTAGTATGAGTGCTGCTTTGGGGATCTTGAATTCGTCCCCCATTAACAAAATAGGTCACCAGTCGGAGAAGCTGATTACGAACTCGCACCCCGCTAAATGAAGGAGTCGTAGAGAAATCGAGTACTCGCCACTGCTGCAGCTGCACTGCATTTATGTATTGTGTGACGTCAGCCTTGTGTAGAATTCTCTCTGCTTTAGACCATGGCATAGACTGAGCAACCCCCCCCCCCACACACACACACACACACACACACACACACACACACACACACACTCTCTCTCTCACACACACACACACACACACACACACACACTTTTTTCTTTAATGAAGTTGCATTACTGTTATGATGTCACTGGGCTTAGACACATTGTATGTGTGTACACTTGAATGAAGTTTTGGGTAGATTGTCAATCACTGATGTCTTGTGTACAGTCGAAGCTGCCTTAACGGAAACCTGTGTAAAACGGAAACCTGTCTTAACGCAATCTTCCCCCCCCCCCTTTGATATATTCCTCTTTAATTCCCTGTATAAAACAGAAATCTGTCCAACGCCGAAACGGAAAGAAAAATCCTCTCCCTCCTGAGGGTTTCACCTGTCTAAGACGGAAAATGCTTTGCCTGCTCAGCACTGATTTGAAACAAAACTTGCAAGTTTGGTTCCACGGCTCTAAACTTAACACCATGCCACCGGGCGAGGAAAGGGAGTCGGGGTACAATTTGAGGGTAAATGTTACCCCATCTATGTGACCCCGAGCGATGAAGATGGTCAGGGTGGTGTGGGTGTGAAATCTCACGAGTGCAAGTGAAAGTGCTCGAGTGGCGCTCTAGCCCGTGAACTTTCATTGGTAGACAGATGCCAGAGGTGTGAAATTAGTTTGACCAATGCCTGCCACCCTGATCGTACAGCCAGCCGAGACGAGAGTTCCTTGAATCGTTGATACATGGCTGTGAGGGGTGGCATTGGTTGGCTGTGCTTATTGCACCGATGGGTGGGGCTAAGGGTGGAAGCGAAGGAGATGTTCAAACGTTTCTGTTTTAAATGGGTCGAACAGTGGTCATATAAAATGCAAGCACTGGTGGTAATTGGATAAATAAGACTGATGCATGTCATTATCATAGAAGATAGCAGCTGAGAGGTGTGAAGGTTTGATTGTTTGCCGACCGCACCAGCGATCCTTGATCCCACCGGCTGGGCCCTTGAACCCCCCCTACCCCTCCATCTCCACACTAAATTTCCCTGTCAAAGACGGAATTTTTTTCTGTCTCCCTTGCGATTCCGTCTTACACAGGTTCGACTGCATTGTGTACACATGCGTTGCGTGTGTGAAAATCAGACGAAAAAACAACCTCCAACAAGTTTGTAATGCTTTTTAGCTTGTTCACTTTCGTCTGTCAGCATTAACAAGTCTAGCTCATTTTTTAATTAACCTATGCGCAGGACAACACGTTAGATGCGCTTTACAAACTGTTTCCTTTTCATTCAGAAACTCAATGAGCACCAGCAAATAACATGCCTGAAAATCAATGCCGTGGAAGCTGGTCAGTGTGCTCAACAAAGAAAGAGAAACATACTGAAACTAAAACACTGGAGATGTCTGAAAGAAGAATTTTGGAAGAAGGAAATTACAATTGAACAGTTTGTCAAGAGAATGAGTTTCAAATTGCTCCATTAAAAATGTTTTATCTCAGCCCACACTGATTTTTATCCCATTTTAATCATTGATATTGATATCCATCATAAAATGATAATTATATACATGTACTATTCTCTTTGAAGCCCGATTCCTACCTCCCCATGGTGAGCAGTGACAACTATGGCACTGTAGGCCTACTTCAAATTAAAAACACATACTTACACACACACGCTGTGCCCAGAGATGTGAATGATCGTTTACCAGTTTTGATACCCTACTTCTTTCATTTTTAAAACTATTCAATAACAAAAGGGGGAGCGAGTTAAGGGTGGGTGGTTGGCGGGTGCTCTGGTGTGCTTTACTTCTTCTTTCCTATCAATCGGCTATCGTCATTACCCCCCTCCCCTCCTTCTTTTTTGTGTTTGTTACTCCCTTGTAACACCTCTAATCTTCGGCTCTTATATGACCTTATTGTGTTGCAAGTGCCGTAAAACGCTTACTAAACCTTTAAAAAAGCAATTTAATTAAGGATCCAACTTTCCGCTCGTAGGGCTGTGACATCATAGGTGGCTAATTGCAATTTCATCTGCTGCTTTACACTGGCCCCGTGAAGAGGATTTGGGTGAATGTGCTAGATCTAATGGTTTTTGTTCTGATTCTAATTCCTTTTTCGGTGAACATGCGGTCATCACTTTCAACTTTCTCAATGTGCTGAAAATTTCATATTGATTGGGTATTTTTGCAGAGATACAGATAAAGTAGTGACGTATCCCATCTGAATCCCGATATGTGGGGCAACGGTTTTGGGCTCTGGGTGGGTGGAAAGTGTTAAACATCAATGTACCATGTTTTTTAAATTGTTAAGTTAGGTGGCCTGAAATTTCTCAAAATGAAGATTTGTACCCTTAGATGTCCAACAATAGACCCATAAGATGGTCTTAACCAGTGGTTTAGGAGTTTTGGCTATTTGACCCCCTAATGTTGATATTCGCAATTAGTTACTATTTTTTTTAAATACTGAAAGTATGATGGTCAGTGCTGGGCAGGTTTGCCCACCTCTGAGAGGGATAATACTTGACTGGTTGAACCCCTTAGTGACCACTCAAGACGGGCTCCTGCCTGTTGTTGTAAGAGGACAAAAATAAACAAATTTCTGAGATTGAGATTGATTGCAAATTGTTTGAGAAATGAACACAAAATGTTGTCACAAGAAAAATGAGTTAATTCCAATTTTTGTCTCTCACCTTGTAAAACAAGGTGAAAGAGAGTCATCCCTTTTTTTTGGCTGTTGTGATAATGAGATTTTTAACATTTTATTTTAATACTTGAATATTTAATTAAATTCAGCATCTGTCAGCAAATTGGTCTAAAGTTATACTTCTACAGTAGAACATGTGTTTGTGTTCTCATTCATAGTCCTGAGGGAGAGATGAGAGTACTTGCCTGTGGTCACTAAAGTGTTAATTCTCCTTGTACAGATTTATGCTTGTGTAGTACTGTAGAACCGGTTAGAACTTCGCAGTGACAGCAGTTGGTGGTGGGCATTAATTGCGCATTGCAAGCTGTTTCTCTGCTCTAGTCTATCTGTAGTCTGTTCGCCTTTTTGTCTGTGGTGCTGACCAGGTTGCAGACACGCAAATCATGTTTGTGGGATGAAGAGATAACTAATGAGCGTGTGTTGGTGTGTGTGTGTGTGTATATGCGCGTTTGTGTGGGGAGGGATTTGTGTGTGTCAGATGTTGTTAACTGATACCCAGTAGCTCCTTTGTTTAACATAATGTATACTTTTTTGTGCTGAGAAATTGTGTTAGTGTGCTGCAGCTTAACTGAAGAGAAATTGTGTTAGTGTGCTGCAGCTTAACTGAAGAGACAGTTTTTCTATTTTAATTCATGTTGATTTCATTATATCGTGTTCTTTATTTATTCATCACTGCCATAGAGGTATTTGTTATGTACACACTAAAGTAGTGTTTGCATTTAGGCTCTGCTGTCATGTAAGTTATCCTGCATGATACAGTGTGAATGATTTAGAGTTTGCTTGATACCCTCTTTCATGCCGTCCTGTGCTTCCAGGCTGTATTCATGTTCTTCTTTGGAAACAACAGAATGACTGAAAAGAAGGACCAATAAAATAGTGATAGATCTAGATATTTGTGTCTGTGCTCTACCGAAATGGTTCGAACTTTCTTTTTTTTTCTATTACCTTTTCAAACAAGATTTAATTGCGAATATTAACTTGTGTGACCAAAGATTTGTCACAATGTGACATGCTGTAGCACATCTGCTGTATTATTATGGAGTTTTACAGTGTTTTGGGGTTTGATATATCTTTTCTGATGATCAGAAAGTTGCCCAGGCTCTGTTTTTGCTATTGAGTTTTGATATTTATCAGGAGACCATTAGCTCCACTTAATTTCTTTTTCTATTGGGCAACCAAGCTGTTGAAAATTTATCCTCTCCCCACACTGTTGGATAAACTGTCACATTTTATTTGTGTTTCTCTTGCCATCAATTTATCATTCAGATCAGTTCAGTTTATGCTTTTGGGTCAAACTGTAAAAGTTGAAACATCCATCTCTCACAAAGCCAGAAACCTTTGTATAAGATATTAGTACAAATTGTATGCTGAGGCCATTATTCTTCCTCCTCTTTGGGACTACCTGGGGAAGCATTCAAAGGGGCAAGTAATCTTCAGAAGTTTCAGAATGGAATGAGTTGAATGCTTCTTTTGAGTAATAGTGCTTTGACTTGGAGAGAGGTTGAAGGGTGCAACTAGTTGATTTTTTTTCTTGTCTGTCACTTCTAGATCTATCTGTCATCCCTTTTTATGAACAACTAAAACTTGCTATAGTTCTGGCTCCTAGCCTTATCCATGAAGGCCAGAGGTTTGATTTCTTCACTGAAAAGGTATTTTATCAAGCCTCCCATGCCGATTGTATCCCAAACACCTCTTGTTGGCCCTGATTTTAGGGCCTGCCACTTAAATTGTCTTAAGTGTCTGGATGGAGGCTAAAATGATTTACATTAAGCTTTCTTACCCCAACCTTCACTGACCATTTTCCAGTTGACGTGCTTCATTAATTGTAAACTCCCAATGGCGTGTGGTTGGCGGGTGTATTGGTGTGTTTTGCTTCTTCTTTCCTTTCAATCTAATCTTTGGCATTTATATGACCTTTTTGTGTTGCAAGTGCAATAAAGCTCTTACTAAACCTAAACTCCTAATCTAATTAATATTTTCTATTTTGCTTTTCTCATTTTCTGATAGACTGTAATGAAAAACATGATGACAGAATTGTGAGTCAAAACACATGTGCCACCATGTCTGTTACACATCCCTTGCTCAAGATTCTCAAAGGTAAGTGGCAATTCTTTTATATTCAGTGAATGAGTACTTTTCTATGCTATGAGTGCTCAAGCATGGGTGTGTGTGTGTGTGTGTGTGTGTGTG